ATAAGTGAACTATGGAGGTTGAACGCGTTCGATTTTTTAGAAAGTCTATTACTATTTTATGCCCCAAATTAAAAAAATCCCAAGCCCGATCCGGCCCGAAATTAAAACTATAAATTATATGTATTTTTTTATAAAAAAAATCACTAATTGCTTTAAGTCTGATTAAAATGTCAGACCAATTAAGATTAGATTGGATTAAGTCATTCAAAGTAATCTGCGGACTATTCGTTTTTCCTCCTTCAAATATCATTAACTATTCAGTTCCTAATTTTTAATAAGAATTTTTTGTGACAATGGTCAGTGATGTAAACAAGGTTCAACCACCCCCCCCCCCTCCCATAAAATCAGAAAAAAAAATTTTTTTGCGAATAATTTTATTTAAAAAACGGTTTAAATTTAGAAATAAAATAAACACGATGTCAAAATGAAATATATTTTAAAAAACAAATAAGAATATTCAATTTTATATAACATGGTTTAATATATTAAAAATTATATGAATTAAAATATTAAATAATAGGAGTGGGGTTACAAAGATATATTGTATATATTTTCTGGTAGTAGAGCCGAGGATGGAGATAAAATTAGATCTGCATATCTTGAAAGATATTTTTTGAAAAACAATTATAAATTTAATAATAATATTTATATTGTTATACTAATTGGATAGTTTAAACTACATGGATATATGAAAAAATTTTTCACATCGATATCATGGTATTATACAATTTATGTAATTTGAATTATAAATATATATTGATATTGCTAGTGAAAATCAGCCCAGTTGATTTGATTATAAAATCCTCAAATGATGATGATGGTATATTCTAATTTATTTATACTTTCTCTTACATTATGTGTTACAAAAGCAGTTGATTTGGCTGGAAAATCATCAAATGATGTGATATGGGTTTTATATAATTGATCTACATTTTTTTTTAATGTCTAAACCTATTTTAATTTTGAGTTATATATTTTTGAGAATATGCTTTATTTAGTTATAACCCTTTTTAATATAAATTAGTATTATTTCCCAAATGATATTTAGGTAATACATTAAAGGCACAAGTAGAGATAGGCAGTATCGTGCACACTTTGTACTCTACCTTTTAAATTTTTAATAAGAAACTTAGATCTGTATCTAAAATACATTTTTTATAAACAAGATTTTGTGTTGTGCTGCTCAGCTCTGAACACTACAATTCATATTATATATAATTTAAAATCTAAAAAAATATAGAAACACACTGTCCTCAAAAAAATGTTTCATTTTACTTAAATTTTAATTTTAAAAACGATAATGAAAAATTGTTGGTCTTGAAAATATTTGGCTACCTGATAAATACTAAAAATTTATATTGTCCTTGGATCAAAGAAATTTAACATTTCAAGCATCTTGGCTCAACAAATATAAGTGGCTTGCCTACTCAGCTAATGAAAAAAGAGCTTTTTGTAAAGTTTGCATATTTTCACCAAGATATGCAGGAAATGGGTTACAAAAACTCAGAACATTGGTAAGTCAATTATATACAAGTTGGAAAGATGTTCTTAAGAATTTTAATTATCATCACAATTCTTGTGAGATATCGGATGCTTTAAAAGCCATCTCTAAAAATCAAAAGATATTAATATCTAATATATTGAATAAAAATAAATTGATATTGTTACAACCAACAGAGCAAGAATAATTATAATAATTGATGCAGTCATTTAATTAGGGAGGCTGTGCTAAGCATTAATATCTCATAGAATAGCTGCTGTCCCCTTAGCACTTACATGCTGTTCTCAGGAATTGTTGAAATATTTATGCATTAATAATGATATCTATATAAAGCTTTTTGAAGCTCTACTAAAAATGTCACCTACCTTAGCCCAAGTATTCAAAATGAAATAATAATCATATGCAATAGGTTCATATTGAAAGAAATTTCTACAAAAGTGAATCACCATTGTTTAGTGTTATGGCGGATGTTCAGAGTTTTTCAAACCCTTTTCCAGCATATCTTGGTAAAGAAATAATGCAAACTTTACAAAAAGCACAAGTTTCATTAGCTGAGTAGGCAAGCCACTTATGTTTGTTGAGCCACGATGAATGTGATGTTAAATTTCTTTTATCCAAGGACAATGGATATTTATAGTATTTATCAACAATTTTTCATAATCATTCTTAAAATGAAACATCTTTTTGAGGATAGTGTGTTTCTATTCCATCAAACGGCATTCGAAGAGCTATAAAAAAAAATCAAACTTTAAAAAAGAAGAGCACGAAAAGTCAGCCATTCTGATCCTAAATCCATAATTATTTCTAAATTTATAGGGGAAATGATAGCCTTGACCACCAGCCGGGTGGAGGATTACAGCTTTAAAAGGCTTTTACATCATTTATTTCCAAATTATAAAATTCCCAATAGGAAGTATTTTTCGTAGGGAGTTATTCCTGATATATATATATATTGAAAAACTTTTCGAAAAAATTCGTAAAATTTGGTTGAAGACTCTTATTTTTCCTTTAACCTAGATATATGGGCTAGAAATTTAGGTGGCAATTCTCATATCTCAATAACATTCCATTATATAAAAAAACTTTAAACAAGATAATAGTTTAAAATGTTAAAACATTTAAAGAATCGCATATAGCAATGAACATTACTCAAATTTTAGATGGAATGATTAATTATTGGGAGATAAATAATAATAAAATAAACCTTATCATTAGAGATAATGCACCCAATATAGCTTTGGCCATGAAAAACGAGAAATTTTAATTGCTCACAGTTTGTAATTAGTGGTACAGGCAGCAATTTTATTGCAGAGATCTATCATTGACATGCTTGCTCGGGTAAGAAAAATAGTAGGCCACTTTAAACATTCTTCCATTTCACAAAATAGTCTAAAAGAAATCCATGCACATATTAATCCAGGACGTGCTTACCCGTTGGGATTCTACCTATTACATGCTCGAACGATTGATAGAACAAAAAAAGGGTGGGACAGCTGTTCATTATTAATTCCTAATTTGGGAAATCTCTCATTATATGATTGGGAACAGAGGTAATTGATGTTCTGGAACCAACCCAGAGGGTAACCAAAGAAATAAATGCGGAATCATGTTAAATTAGCAATGTTATACCCTTTGTTGAAATTCTGAAAAGTGAATTAACGAATATTGGACACAGACATAGGTGTGCAGACCATGAAGGATACCATTAATAAACAATTAAGAACACGGTTTTTTGATATTTATGATTATGACAATTATCTTATCGTAATATTACTTGATACTCGTTATAAGGATTTCTTTTACCAAAAGACATTTCATATATTGAAAAGCTAAAGACTGCATGTGACCCTTGTATTAAGGTGATAATAATGTACAACTTCCAACTCACAATAAAGAATCGCAAGGTTTTATATTTTTTAAAATAATTTTAGATTTTATTGATAACTTAGGTAATAACAATAAGAAAAATGTTTCATATAACATTAAAAAAATGCAAATTTAATTTAAATTATAAATTGCAAAACAAAGAGAAACTATTAATAAATAAAATAATTGAAATCAATAGTAAGATGACCTGCCATACTTGAAAGAAAACAAGAAATATTTAAAAGAATCTATAGATCTAGAAAGTATAATAACATATTTTTCATATTTAATCAAGTATTGCTTGGTTGGATCTGATTGACTTATTTGCTTGAATAATATCTGAATATTTAAAAATCAGCAAAAAGGTTGGGTTTGAATGAAACCCACTCTTTTAAAAATGCTAATTTTATATTTTTTTTCTTTATTTAGATAACTCTAATAACATTGATACTTATATATATTGTGGATCCACTTGACTATTGGAGAATTAATGCTGAAAAGTATCCAACTTTGTCAAAACTTGCATGATTTTTGGCGACTCTTGCAAATGGTGTCCCATCTAAGTCTGTCATCAGTATGGCAGGGAATATAGTCCATATCATAGAAGCTTATTGACAGAAAATTTAGTGAGAATCTAAGAATATGATGGTGATGAGGTTGAAACCTCCAATAAAATCTCTACCCCCCCCCCAATCCTGGCTACGTCACTGATTCTGGTTGACCATTTTTTTAAGAGGATAAATTTAAGAGATAAACATTAATTTCAATAAATTAATTTAACTTATCTCATTTTTAAAAATTTTTTAACCCTTTTATAATTTTATTTTTAAAAACGGTTATAAACATTTTATCCAGAAAAATTTTATGCAAGCCTGAAGATTTTGCTCATAGATGGCACAAAGATTTATATATTTATTCGCGAAATCTTGAGACTTAGGCAATTTTTTTCTGGCTAAAATATTGATTTCGTTTTAAAAATCAATCAGGTCGTTTAACAACACCATTGCTAAGCTATAAATCTAAGTATATAAAAGATTATATTTACAACATAATAAATGTGTTGTTAAACGGTACGATTTAGGTAGATTTTTTCTGATTAAGATTTTAGCCAAAATAATATTATGTAAGTCTCGAGATTTGACAGAGGTTCATCTATGAGCGAAATCTCAAGCTTACATAATATTGTTTGGGCTTAAATCATCAGGCCGTTTTTAAAACTCGACCTAAATTGTGCTGTTTAACAAAACTAATGAGGAGCAACATATTTGTATTAAAAAATAAAGATTTTGATTGACAAACTTCGTATATTTTTTAATAAAAAATTCTTTATGATTCAATAATAGCTTTTTATTACAAATATATGAGTTTTTTTAATGAACATTTGGGATTGATCATTTTAAATGTTGTAAGCCGCCGCTAGATTTGAGTCGCTTTTTAAAAACGGCTAACTCAATATAATATTTTATCCAGAAAAAATATATTACGCAAGTCTGAAGATTTTGCTCATATGGCACACCTAGCGAAATCTCGTGGCTTAGACAACCCGATTATATATTTTTTTAAAGAAAATAAAACATTTACACGCCTACCTGATAATTATATATTTTTTAAAAAAAAATTAATTTTTTGTTACCTTGATAGGGGACGAATATTTATCATCTTTTGATAAATCCTTTTTGGAGTCCGGTCTTTGGTGATCAGATTCGCTGCCGGAATAATTCCTGGTTTTAACATTGCTATTAGTAGTTGTCTCTTTTTTCGAGCCGGCATCTCTATCCTTATTACTATCGATGTTGGAAACATTTTTGTAATTGCCGGAAGGAGTGTAAGACGATGATTTTGTTGATTGGCTTCGTTTGGAGGTCTCGATTTTTTCGTATGCAATGGGCTTGCCTTGCAGAAATAAATGAGTGGCGGGGAGGGGAAGGAAGGGTAAACAATGAGGATTGAATAATTTATAAATTATATAAATAAAGTTTTCTTTTTTAATGATCCCAGATTATCTGGATTTGCCTGTGGTAACCATTAGGTTTTGAGGAAAAAAACATCTTTTCATATTGATAATGGCTGAAATGGAATGTCCAACTGAAGATTTTTTTCAATACGATTACATATATTTAAAATTAAACTATCTGCAATAATGGATAGGATTAACTGTTATAGAGATAGGGTAAAGAATCTAAAGGTTTGAGAGATATAGGTTAAAGTTTACGATATATTTTTTTAAAAAAATTAGTCTTTTTTATTAACCTGTCAAATCAAAAACAATTTTGTTCAATAAAATAAAAATATGGAAATTACAAAAGATTTATTTATAATAGATTTTGACATTTTTGGTAAAATTAAATTAAAAACTCTATTCTTCAAAAAAAAATTTTTGCCTTTATTTTTTGGTAATTTTTTAAAACTATTTTTTTTTTGACGAATCAAAATTGTACATGAAAGATGATACTTATAGTCATAATCCCTTATTACTATTTCGATTTTTAAAATTTGTTAAAAATATATTTTACAAATATTACTAATAATACTTTTTATAAATTTTTTTTTATTTGAAAGCCAACAATTGGAAAACTTTTTTAAATTTTAAAATTGTAAATAATCCTTTTTTGTTAATATAAAATAATTGGCGTATCTTTAATAAATACAGTAAAGTAAATCTAATAAGATTTTATATATTTGAAAAAAAAAATATAATATATGTGACTCTAAAAGTAATCAAAGGAATTTCCTTGTATAAAGCTAATGTGTACATTTAGTTTATTACCAATAGCAAAGAAAAAATTTATCCAAGGTAAGGTAGGAGGGATTTGGGGGGAGGGGGGTGTTTCATCCGCATTTATTTCGCATGGTTAATTTTATTTATTTTTCCCTGTTTAAGGTTGGCCAAACAATCAGGGCAAATTTAAAATCTATGCCAATGTTTTAATTTAGTGACTACAAGTGTTTTAACTAATATGCCCTTATCTTCGCCACTGTTTATTTCTAATATTAAAATAAATGTATTTAAAAGTATCTCCAAATTCAAGGTAACGTAACCAAGTTTTATGGTAAAAAAATGTGTCTCGAACATCAAAGTTAGGCCAAAATATATGATAATAGCTAGAGGTCTAGGTCCAGTTTATGGCTTAACTCTCTAGGATAAAGGAAAAAAAACGTTGGCTTAAAATTTAGTTAAGCCATCTAAGAATCAGCTTGAGTTAGGTTATTTACCATCAGTAGTTTATAAATTAGGAATATTGGTAACCAAATTCAGAGTGCCACACATCTCTAGTTATTTTAAAAAAAAGTACCATTGAAAAAAAAAATGTTGAGGGTGCTTAAGATTTTTTAATAATTTCATGTAAAAATAACTCTAAGAATCCATTAAATATATTATTGAATGTAAGGTATCGTGCCGCATGATATACTTTTTTTTGTGTTTTGATGTTTTGTCTCGTGACTTTTTTGCTAAATTTTGCTTAAGCTTAAAATTTGTATGCTCAATTTAAAAAGCTGATTGCTCAATATATACTTTATAAATATTCCCTTATGATTCCGTCACATTTTAGAAAATATGATAGTTATAGCCATTATAATTCGAAAAAACCTCTTAACATCAGGATCACTCCTATGTAGTCGGGTAAAGCGGTATTCCCTAATTCGTCTTACAATACACTGGGAGAAGTGAAGGTAACACCCTTTGACGACAATAGTTGGGAAAACCGTTTTAAGTGCTAAATATACACCAATTTCAAAATCAATAGTTGCAATTTTGGGGAAAAATATTAAACCTATAGAAAGGCAATAATTTTTTAACGATGAAAACATTTTAAAATATAAGCACACACAATTAAAGTATTACTTATAATTATATTTATTGTATAAAAATGCTTGAAAAGTTTTGGGGCAACATTGAAAGTACCATCCATATAATTATTATTGGCACTACAAAGTCAAGATAGCAATGAATGGGTAGAAAAAATAAATAATTTATTATCATCATCACTATATATAAAAAAAATTGGCCTGTTTCTGTGCATTAATGTTCAGCGAGTAATGCTGTGTCAGAATTTACATGAGGCAAGGATGGCCTTGTTGTTTGAATAACATGGGCCATAATTGACTTTACAGATGAATATGTGGTTAGGACTTTTGGATTTTGCTTGGCAAAAGAATCCAATTTCCTCTTACGCTTAACTTTTTTATATATTTTGTGCATACTTAAATATTTATTTAAAAGCATTTGGCTTTTTAATTCATTTATTGTAATTAAAAGTTCATAATACTCTTTATCAATATTATGATCATGAACCTTGATCATTACAAAAAAGGTTTTTAAAATACCTCTTCCATTACAATGTTTTTTTCTACATATATAATAGTTTTCTCTATTTTGAGAATATAAATAATTATTAGAAAATAGTAGATTTTTATTAAATTTAGATTTTATAAATTTATATTGAGCATTTTGCTTTAAAAAAATTAATTGATTTATTTAATAATCTTCAATGGCTATAAAAGATAATTAAAAACAATATCTTTCATATATCCAAACAATGCACTGGTATATTTTTTGTTAATCTTATATAAAATAATCATATTATAGCTCCTGCCTGCTTAGAAATAACAAGATTTGTAAGCTTACAAGTTGTATCAGTAGTCACTCAAAGTAAAATATAATTTTATAATTTATAAAAATCAATTTTATTGCTAATCCCATAAGTGTACATGGTGTAGCAGTAGCCACTCAAAGTAAAATATAATTCTAACATTATTTTACTTTAAAATTTAATCAGAAATATTTTCTCCAGCATCATTTATGACCATAACCAACCAAGGTAAATTATAGAATATATTACTAATATGCTATCTTGTTAACCTGAAAATTTTCTTCTTAGCATCAATTGATTTAATTTATTCAGCTCCAACCAACCAAAGTAAATTTAAAATATGCTACATGTTAATCTGGAAATTTTAATCTATCACTTGATATAATCCATTCAGGAACTGCAACCAATCAAGGTAAATTTATGCTACTAATTTTATCTATAAATTATCTTTTATAACTATTGAAGATTAACAAATAAATCAATTAAATTTTTTAAAGCAAAATGCTCAGTTTATATTTATAAAATCTAAATTTAATAAAAATCTATTATTTTCTAATAATTTTTTATATTCTCAAAATAGAGAAAACTATTATATATGTAGAAAAAAAGATTGTAATGGAAGAGGTATTTTAAATACTTTTTTTGTAATGACTAGGGTTCATGATCATAATATTGATAAAGAGTATTATGAACTTTTAATTACAATAAATGAATTAAAAAGCCAAATGCTTTTAAATAAATATTTAAGTATGCACAAAATTTATAAAAAAGTTATGCGTAAGAGGAAATTGGATTCTTTTGCCATGCAAAATCCAAAAGTCCTACCCACATATTTATCAGTAAAGTCAATTATGGCCCATGTTATTCAAACAACAAGGCCATCCTTGCCTCATATAAATTCTGATATAGCATTACTCGCTGAACATAAATGCACAGAAACAGGCCAAATTTTTTTAATATATAGTGATGATAAAAAATTATTTATTTTTTCTACCCATTCTTTGCTAACTCGACTTTGTAGTGCCAATAATATTTATATGGATGGCACTTTCAATGTTGTCCCGAAACTTTTTAAGCAATTTTATACAATTAATATAATTATAAATAATACTTTAATTGTGTGTGCTTATATTTTATTACCCAATAAATATAAGGACACATATATTAAAATGTTTTTTTCATTAAAAAATTATTGCCTTTCTATAGGTTTAATATTTTCCACCAAAATTGCAACTATAGATTTTGAAATTGGTGTATATTTAGCACTTAAAACGGTTTTCCCAACTATTGTCGTCAAAGGGTGTTACTTTCACTTCTGTCAGTGTATTGTAAGACGAATTGGGGAGTACCGTTTAACCCGACTACATAGGCGTGATCCTGATGTTAAGAGATTTTTTCGAATTATAATGGCTATTCCATTTTTATTAGAAAGGGATTTGCCATCTGTAAACGAACTTAATCATCAGGCACATACCTTTAACTTGGTTTCTATTTTTGATTTTTTAAATTATTTTGAAAATACTTGGATAAATAGTAATGCAAAATTCAAATATCAAATGTGGATTTGATGTTAATAGTGTGAGGACCAATAACCACGTTGAAGGGTTTAAGGAATACATTCCTTATCCTCACCCTAACGTTTATCTATTTGTTGATATCATAAAAAATATTGAACAAGACATGGATCTTTTATTAATTCAGTTAGATTATGGAAAAAAAGTTTCTGAAAGGAAAAAAAATACATAGAATAATTGATAGCAAGATAAGGGAGATAATATTTCTCTACTGTGGGTACTATTTTAATCCCATTCAATATTTAGAAAATATATCTAAATATATATTCTAAGAGTTGTTCTTGTTAATGATTAATCAATTGAATTAATATAGGATCCATATATTCCATATTTTGATGATGTCAAAGGATAATATTACTATTTATCCAAGTATATAAATTGTAGTTGGGTTTGTTAGAAGTGTTATGCATCAATTTTCTAATGTATGGTTCTATTATCATCATCACTTTGATTTTAAAAATTGGGTAAAGCTTATTTACAGCGAGTAGTGCACAAATATGTGGGGAGGTTTGATGCATGATAAACGATTCTATTTCAATTTACCATATATTTTATATTATGTTATGCATACATAGATATTTATTAATTATTTGGTTTTTAGCTAAAAATACACATTATTCTTTATCAATATTATGATCGTGCTGAAAATTTTCATTATTTAATGCTTTTTATACCAAATTTACACCATTTTATATAATATTGATATGCAGAAAGTAATTACTATAATTTTATAAATTACTATTGAAATACAAATTTCAATCATTATTTTTTATACCACCTATTGATATACAAATTGTAATCATCATTTTATATACAATTAATATAAAATTGCAATATATACAAATTTTTATACACCACCATCAATATACCATCTTAATAAATATAATTTTATATACTATTGATATGCAAATTGCATTCATTATTTTATATACCGCCATCAATATATAGTCGCAATAAATATAATTTGATATATAAATTGCAATCATTATTTTATATTTATAAATCACAATAATAATATTTATATATTGATATAATTGCAAAAGTAATAATAAAATTGTTAGGCTTATATTTCATTATTCTTACAATATGCATTACAATTTTTAAAAACAGCTAACTCAATATTTTATCCGAAAAAATATTAGGCAAGCCTGCAGACTTTGCTCAGGGGGGGGGGGCACAAAGGTTTGGCATCTATTAGCTAAATCTCGAGGCTTAGTCAATATTTTGCTAGCAAAAATATTGAGTTCTCTTTTTAAAAACTTGGCTCAAATCAAGCCGTTTAACAATATTTTTAAGTAATATCTAAGTAATCAGATAATTATATGAATAAATACGTATGATAAATAGATTTCCTAGTAAGATAAGTGACTAGAAACCTCTAACATCTGATATTTATAGGAATAATAAGTCTAAATCCCTACGATAAAAATTTATTGATGGAGTTCTTAGTAGGAAAAGAGATTAACATATTCCCATTAATCATTAGAAATCTAAAAAAAATTAAAATATGAGTAAATCTGATATTTATAGGAATAATAAGTATAAATCCCTAATATAAAAATTTTATTAAAGGAGTTCATAGTAGGAAAAGAGATTAACATACCATTAATCATTAGAAATCTAAAATATGAGTAAATCTGATATTTACAGGAATAATAAGTATATTGGATTATAGAAGTTGTTAGTAAGATAAATGACTAAAACCCTCTACCAATAAAAATTATCTTATGATAAGCATAAATACCTACGAATAATTTGATTTATCCTTTTACCCCAAATTATTTTTTATTTCCTACCCAGCTACAAGTCTCATGAAATAATATTCAGAAAACGATGTAAGTAAATGGCCCCTAATCCTATCATCCTCGGATATTTTTTTAGAGTAAATATTACAAAAAAAATTAACTTATATTTATATTATTAAATAAAGTTATATCATATATATAAAAAAAAATGTTTTAATATTGTATAATATTTTAAAATATATATATAATATTGAATTATAAATAAATTATATAAAATAGATAAATAATATTATAAATATATAAAATATGTAAATAATATTAAAATATATAAAATATGTAAATAATATTATATATATATAATATAAATTATACTATATAAATTATATATTAATTATGTAAATATTAATAATTATTATTTATAATTAAATCATATTAAATATTACAATTATATATTACTAAAATTTATATTAATACAATTTATACATTTTTCTTTATATCAAATTAATTTAAATTAAAAATATTAATTACTTTAAATATTATATTAAAATTATATTATGTTAAATATTACAATTATATATTTATTAAAATTTATATTAATACCATTTATATTAAATTTGATTTTAATAATAATTGTAATTATATTAAATATTTGATTAAGGTATTTACTAAAATTTATATTAATAAAATTAATAAATTTTTCTTTATATGATATTAATTTAATATTAAATACTTAAATATTAAATCTATGTAATCTGTAAAGTTAAATTTTTAATATTTTTTATCTCTCGCTTCAAACTTACGGGGGCCATTTTGACAGCCATTTTAGCTTATTTGCCTTTTCGATATTTTTAAGAGTATATAGAGCACACCTGAACCTTAATGTAATTATTTTTAAGTCCTGGAGGAAGGAGAGGGGATGAAGGATATAAAAATATAAAGTTATGCTACATTTCAAAATTCATCGTATTTTGTTTACATAAATACATTTTAGTGATCTTTATTGGGCCTAATTCCGCCTGGCCCAGAATTTTTTAGTTTTGCCGGCCCAGCCCAAACTTGAATTTATATAAATATTGAAATTAATTTTTATAATTACTCAAAATAAATGGTATATGTTATATGGTGTCTAAGTTTAAATAAATAAAATCAAAACATTAAAAATTCAACATAAAATTGATAAATTTGGATATATTTAAAAATAATTCCAAACTGACCCAATCTGGCCCAAATTTTTAAAAAAATAATAGGCTTGGCCCAGCTCAAACCAAATTTCTTTTTAAGAAATAGGCCCAAACCTAGCCCAAGGTCCATTCAAGCCAGGTTCAGTCCTGGCCCACTTTTGCAGATTGCTAATACATTTATTGTGTGGTATATATAATAAATCAATATTTAAAATAAAAAAATGTTTAAAAATAATATAATCAAAAATTATCCTGATATGTCAATTTTGGGCTTTTAATTTTTATAAAATCAGTATAATATTTTTTTTTCAAATAAGTGCAAATATAGAATCCCAGATTGAATTATAATCCATTTTAATAAATAATGACTGTTCTGAAGTGATGGCAACAATAAGGATGAACTGGTGAAATTTCAGTGATTGTTTTCATTATTAGAAAATTATTATTTAAATAATTAATTTCAAAATATTATGGCAATCATCACTATAAATTTTATGCAAAATTTCTAACCAAATAATGCATTTAAATATTATTAATTTGTGAAATAGATTTATATACCTTTATAATATTTCAAAAATTTAATTGAGGTTTTGGCCGAAAACAATTTCAGTCAATAGACAAAGTTCATAGATAATTAATTTATATAAAGTTAAAATAATTAGTTTGATTGATTAATTATAATATTTGATACCTTTTTCAATATTTATGACTAAGTAAAATTGATAAATAAAAAAATCAAATTTTAAGGTAATTTGATATTTAAAATATTATTTTTTACCTTTGTTGTCTTTACTAACATTATCTTTGTTATTGTTCATACTCCTACTAGAGTGAATTATAACTGTTTTTTTCTTTTCATTGGCCAGGGATCTTTCTTCGCGTATTTTCTACAAAATCAATAGATTTTATATTTATAAATGAGATACTTTGGCTTCATTCTTTCGGTCTTGTCTTTTCTTTGCTATAAAATCTAATAACGGTGTTGTTTTTTGGATATAACCCTCTGGTAATTATTTTATAATATAAGAATTAAATATAAATTATTTATATAAGTTGCTAAGTAGAATAGAGTATAAGCCCTACTTCTCAAAATTTTCCCTTGAAAAACTGTTATTTAGGAATAATATTATATATATTATAATTAATCATTTTCAGATGGTATTGATAATCTTGATGTATTATTTTTATAAGTAAATTTTTCAAACTTTTTGATTCAATTTCCTTCAATTCTATCTCCTCAATCCATTTGTCTAGTGGCACAGGTTGATGCTCACTTTTTTCTTTTTCCTTTTCTATAGTTTCCAAAAATTCTTTAAAATCATCATCTTCAAATAAATAAATTTTAAAAAAAAATAACAAAAGTAATTAGTTTATAGGAATGACCAATTTGCTATCTTCCAATGCTTTAGAAATTTAAATGATATAATCATGTTTTTATTAAAAATTAAGTCCATTTTATAATAATGAGGCCATTGTAATAAGATGGCAAAATTACCCTCTTCTATTGTCCCACATTTTGTGTCTTTTCTCCTATTTAACTTGGGAATTTTTTGGAAAGGTGCATATTCAACTATTGCTTCATATTCAGTGCCTTGTTTAAGTTTTTTTGTCTACATATTATAGATCTAATATATTTATACCATTGTCGTCTAAAAAAACATAGCAATCAAACTTTTGTTTAAATAGCCATATATCTTCATAATTAATAAAATTTATGTATGCTCTATTGCTAGAACTATATATTTATAACCATTAGTATAGCGATAATTACTTTTTCCCCATGACAAATCTTAAATAATCATGCTCTGGTATAGGATCAATTTGCTTCAAAAAAACTTCAAGAGTCATTGAAGGGGGTAAATTACGTATAATAATCTATTGTTAATATTTAATTAATTTATATTTTCAAAAAAAAACTTTTGTTGGAGGAGTATCAACTTTCTTATGTAATTTTGTTGTATCCAGAGCGAATTGTTCTTTAGTATCATATTTTTTTTCTTCCTCGGCCCTGCTTTCACTTTTAATTGTAGAAGAAACCATTCAGTGAAAATTAAATAAATATTGCAGCTACTATGAAAATAAAATAAGTGTCAACTTTGACATTAGATATTTTTTCTTGTTAGCTGTCAAATAGTGACATAAAAATGGCACGTCCAAATCATTATGTATTTTCACTTTGTGTCATTGTTTTGTAGTGGCGTCCCTAAGGGAGGGCAGGGGCTCGAGCCCCCTGAATAGCCCCTTGAATCAAAAAAAATTTTTTTAAATGGAATCTTAAACCCTTGTACTAAAAATAAATTTTTTTGATTGGCCCCTGAACGATTTCTTTTATAATTCTATTCAGTAATATATAGATTTAATTTTATTATTTAAAAATTAATAATGTTATATTTGAATATCGTATATATTCAAATTAAGTTATATATTTAAAAGGACGTTATTTGTATATTATATTGAAAAGAAAGAAGATAGAGCCTATATTAAATAAAAGCCTATAATAAATAATTTATTTTATTTAATATAACTAACTTTTACAGAATAATAACAACCTATATATATATTTTTATAAACTAAAATTAGAATACAATATAAAAAAGGTTAAGTTATAAAAATAAAATTGTAACAAAAATAAAAATATAATTTGAATAAACATAATGAATGTATGTTATATAAATTAAAACATATTACTATTCAATAATCAAAATATTTTAATTTATTAATTCCTATAATGTAACATTCTCCCTCTTCTAAAAAACCTTCCCAATATCATCTAAGAAGTCATGGAGAGTTTGTTGTCCAAATGGTTTATCGTTTAAATCATAAAAATGTTTCATAAGTCCGTAAGTCATTATATCGTTGGCTTGTTCAAATTGTTTATTATATTTGTACGTAGGTTTGGTTAAATCGTAAGCTTGATATCCATATAGTATGTTGTCCTTACAAATCGTGAATTTGTCATACTCAGTTGTTATTATTATCATTTTTCAAAATCGTTATTATCAGTAAGTTGCGAATAATAAAAAATAATAGTTCATCAAGATATAAAAATAAGTGAAGAATGATAAATCAATAAGATTGTTATATAATATTTTTAGCGTTTTAATTTTTCGCGTTTTAATTCCGAGGTTAAAATATGCAAATAAAATATTATTCACATTTCCATCTCTTTAAATTAAAAAATTTAAATTTCACACCCTAGTTTTAATTCAAAAAGTGTTTTTAATAAAAATTCTTCATAAGATAATTTTTAGAAAATGATCTCATCACATCATTTAAATATTTATCTAAAATGAAGATGTTACATAACCACTTGTCTTCAAAAGTGTTACAAATCCGAACTTAACTCAGGGTGTTAACGTTGTATTGGGAGAGCTAATTAGGAATCAAAGGTGTATTAAATCCATATGAATAAAATAAAGGATTAATTTTAATAATAACGATTGCTAACCACTTACTTTTGAGCACACTTAAAATAATATAATGTAAACTCTTTTAAATAATTCCAATTTATTAAATTATCGTATTACCTTTCTCTATTTAGAAATATTTAGAATCTCTCTGTTTATAATTAATTTCATATACTATAATTAATGAACAAATTTTTCTTTTTTATAAAATTCCACTCTAACTCACTTTATTGAAAATTGAATCATATATATATACATAATTATTTGCATATTAAATATAATAATTTTTCGAAGAATAAAAATATAAAATTAAAATATTATCATTTAAATATAAAAATGTAAAATCTAGTACAACTATTACTGATTTTTCGAAGAATAAACATATAAAATTAAACTATTATTATTCAAATATAAAATTGTTAAATTTCGTACAATATTAAATTTACATAATACCACAAAAAGCTTTATTTCAAAAACATTTTTATCATATTAAGTATTATTTATAAGGGTTATTTAAATCAATCATGTGATTAAAACCTTTTAATTCATATGTATTAATTACATTTTAATATATTTAAAATTAAAGTTTTATCTTCTTGTTTTGGATTTTTATTGGTTTAACTTTGTAATATTTTTAATTAGAATTCATCTTTAGGTAATCCAGTTAATTTACACAATTGGTCATAATTCAAGAAATCAAAAATATCAATAGGCATTTCACTAAGAAATTCATTAAGCAAATAATTTTTTAAGGCATTTTATCATCTTTGGTCATAATTCATGAAATCAAAAATATGAAAAATATCAATAGGCATTTCACTAAGAAATTCAAAATATCAATAGGCATTTCACTTAGAAATTTAACTGTTAATTCATTATTATGTAGAAAAATTTTAAGGCTTTATATGTATTCAAATATGTCCATTATTGATTTACATTTAAGTTATTTTAATAAGTAAACTTACAACATGCCTTTATCTCGGCATAAAATTTTAATTTATAATAACTTTAAGTTATTTTAATAAGTAATTTTACAACATGCCTTTATCTCGGCAAAGTTATTTTAATAAATAAATTTACAACATGCCTTTATCTCGGCATAAAATTTTAATTTATAATAACTTTTCTTCTTACGTGGATTAGAATAATAAGTAATCATCATTGGTCTCACAATATAGAATTCATAACCTAACGTCCAACCTCCATATTGGTTCTTTCTAGGTTGTCACATTAGATTAGGTGTTGGTCATCATCTTGTAGTCCACCACCCAGAGCCAGGACACCACGAAGAAAGAAGCTTTTTGCATGAAAGAACGTGCTAAGGTTTGATTCTTGGTCATCTCAATAGATTAGGTAGTCATCTCAATAGATTAGGCATTGGTCATCTCAATAGATTAGGTAGTCATCTCAATAGATTAGGCAGTCATACAAGGTAGTCATATCAATAGATAAGGTAGTCATCTCAATAGGTTAAGCAGTCATCTCAATAGATTAGGCATTGATCATGTCAATAGATTAAGTAGTCATCTCAATAGATTAGGCAGTTATATCAATAGATTAAGGTAGTCATCTCAATAGGTTAAGCAGTCATCTCAATAGATTAGGCATTGATCATGTCAATAGATTAGGTAGTCATCTCAATAGATTAGGTAGTCATCTCAATAGATTAGGTAGTCATCTCAATAGATAAGGTAGTCATCTCAATAGATTAGGCAATCATATCAATAGATTAGGTAGTCATCTCAATAGGTAGTCATCTCGATAGGTTAAGCAGTCATCTCAATAGGTTAGGTAGTCATCTCATTCTAGTCCACCACCCAGAGCCAGGGCACCATGAAAAGAAAGAAGGTTGAGCCTATAATAAATAATTTATTTTATTTAATATAACTAACTTTTACAGAATAATAACAACCTATATATATATTTTTATAAACTAAAATTAGAATACAATATAAAAAAGGTTAAGTTATAAAAATAAAATTGTAACAAAAATAAAAATATAATTTGAATAAACATAATCAATGTACGTTATATAAATTAAAACATATTACTATTCAATAACCAAAATATTTTAATTTATTTATTCCTATAATGTAACATATATATTATAACTTTCCGACATTTAATATTATATTATCGAGCTTAATCAAATTGCATATTATTAGAAGTTAAATTGGATAATTATATAAATGTATATATATAAAAGAATTACAAATAAAATTCATTATTGTTTTTAAAACATATTCTATTTAATATTTGGCGACGAGGTAAAAAAAAAGTCGCGCGGTTTTCGGTCTTCGGTCAAGTTAAATGTTATTTAGAATTATAAAAAAAATTTCTCTTTATAAAGAAAATAAATAAAATTGTCGTGATTGACGGAGTCAATCACGGGAAACGAGGAAAAATAGACGAAAGCAAATATGGAAAAAAAAAATATTATTTCGTCGATTCATTATGATAATAAACATTTTTTTTGGTGTGTTATTTTTATATTATACGATTTTATTTTTCGCGTGAAATTAGGATTATAAGCGTGATTATGGAGTTTTAAAATTATAAAATAATATATTTTTATATTATAATTTTGTTTTGAAGGTTAGAGGCTTCCCTATAAAAGGAAAGCCGAAATCTTAAAATTGATTATGTTTTTTTTTTGGTTGTAATAGTTTATATAAATTTTTAATTGAAATAAAATTATTCGGAGTTTTGCTTGGATTGAAATAAAATTATTATATTCTTTTACTCGGACTTATACGGCACAACGTAATAAAAATAATAATAGATTTGTTTAGAAATTATGGATAAAAGATGAATGAGATAAATGGGCTATTGACGACTATAGACACATAAAAAAAAAAATTTCTCAAATTGACGTCACTTTGAAATAATTATTTATAGCTTATGGAGGAATAAATATTAACTGAATAAAAAAGAATTACTCTTCCCAAGAAAATATGGGCAGATATATACAAAATTGCAAAACAACTTATAAAGATAAAACAACTGTTCTGGCATCTAGAATTGAATTCATTAGATTAAGTCGCGGGCCTACAGAATTCTTTTTGAGTTATTTAAAAACTATAAAGGAGCTAGCCCGAAGATGCAAATTTGAAGATAATGTAGAACTAAGAATTCGCGATCAATTAATCGACGGAGAATTATGTTTACGATACTCATATACTAAAGACGAAGACCAACCGTTAAACTTAAACAAAATTATAGAATTTATGATAATGATAAAGGGCACGACGCAGCCTATTTAGATTTCCATGGATTATAGAATTTATGATAATGATAAAGGGCACGATGCAGCCTATTTAGATTTACGTGGATTATAGAATTTATAATAATGATAAAGGGAACTATCAAAATGATTGATGCGGCCTATTTAGATTTCCATGGAATGTAGAATTTATGAACGATGCAGCCTATTTAGATTTCCATGGATTATATAATTTATGAAAATGATAAAGGGCACGAAGCAGTCTATTTAGATTTCCGTGGATTATAGAATTTATAATAATGATAAAGGGCACTATCAAAATGATTGATGCAGCCTATTTAGATTTCCATGGATTATAGAATTTATGATAATGATAAAGGGCACTATCAAAATGATTGATACAGCCTATTTGGATTTCAGTGGATTATAGAATTTGACTTATCGTGCTTTATATAGCCTATTTGGATTTC